GCGTGTGCGTGTGTGTGTGAAACAACATGCCCTGTCTTAAACATCAGATGACTGAACAGACGTATGAGCCCAGGTGTCTGTGTGTGTGTGTGTGTATGTGTGTGTGTGTGTGTGTGTGTGTGTGTGAAACAACATGCTTAAGCACCAGATGACGAAACAGACATATGAGCCCAGGTGTGTGTGTGTGTGTGTGTGTGTGTGTATGTGTGTGCGTGTGTATGTGTGTGTGTGTGTGCGTGTGTATCTGTGTGTGTGTGTGTGTGTGTGTGTGTGTGTGCGTCTGTGTCTGAATGCCTGTGCATGTGTTTGCAAGTCGCGACCCCTGAATGACAAAGTTATATCTGCTCCGTACTTAGTTTGGAGAAATTTGATACAAAAGAATGTTGAGTTTCGCAACAATGCCAATCTTTTGAGAATGCAATTCTTTGAATATCTTGATATCGACTTTGAAGAATCCTACAATTGGTCGCGTTTAAGCACAAGGGGGCTATTCCGAAAAATGCTATTTTGAGAAAATCGAAGGTAAAGTTTGGCCCCTTGTTCAGTTTCTTTAAAAGACAAGTAGATTTTGTTCATTAACTAAACAAATATACACACCAATGAAACCAAACTTCTCCTATAGGTTGGGACAATGCCCACTTTTGGTGTCGGTCAAGATTTCTGAAAAACCCTCGAAATCTGGGTTGGACCGCTTGTCCTTAAAAGCGACAATTTTGATAGAGCAAAAAAAAAAAGCATACCTGTAATTTGTTTTCTGACCTCACGGTCTTTCATGTAAAAACTCAAAACGGCCAACATCTCTGATAAAACAATGTAATTCTAAAGTAGCGAAGTGTGTCAGAATGAGGGAGGGGATGAGTGAATGAAGAGGAAAGGGGGAGGGGATGCGTGAATGAATGGAGGTTCAAAGTTTGTAAGTGTTTGAGCGCTTATTCAGCTGCTCGCTCTGTTTGCTTCCATTTATTATTATGATGATGATGATGATGATGATGATGATGATGATTACTGTTATTATTATTGTGATGATGATAATGACGATTCTTCTTTTTCTTCTTCTTCTTCTTCTTCTTCTTCTTCTTCTTCTTCTTCTTCTTCTTCTTCAAATTTGTATTGTTTTTGTTATTATTATTAAATTATCGTTATCGTTATTATTATCATTATTGTCCTTATTAGGACACCCGGAGGTCCGAACACTGACATCGCTACCCTGGACCTGAGCTACGTGTGCAACACAGGTGTGGACAATGTCAACGTGACAGCCAACACGGTGAGTGTGTAGATAGACAGACACGGTGAGTGTGTAGATAGACAGACACGGTGAGTGTGTAGATAGACAGACAGGGTAAGTGTGTAGATAGACAGACACGGTAAATGTGTAGATAGACAGACACGGTAAGTGTGTAGATAGACAGACACGGTAAGTGTGTAGATAGGCAGACAGGGTAAGTGTGTAGATAGACAGGGTAAGTGTGTAGATAGATAGACAGGGTAAGTGTGTAGATAGACAGGGTAAGTGTGTAGATAGACAGACAGGGTAAGTGGGTAGATAGATAGACAGGGTAAGTGTGTAGATAGACAGACAGGGTAAGTGTGTAGATAGACAGACACGGTAAGTGTGTAGATAGACAGACAGGGTAAGTGTGTAGATAGACTGACAGGGTAAGTGTGTAGATAGACAGACACGGTAAATGTGTAGATAGACAGACACGGTAAGTGTGTAGATAGACAGACACGGTAAGTGTGTAGATAGGCAGACAGGGTAAGTGTGTAGATAGACAGGGTAAGTGTGTAGATAGATAGACAGGGTAAGTGTGTAGATAGACAGGGTAAGTGTGTAGATAGACAGACAGGGTAAGTGGGTAGATAGATAGACAGGGTAAGTGTGTAGATAGACAGACAGGGTAAGTGTGTAGATAGACAGACAGGGTAAGTGTGTAGATAGATAGACACGGTAAGTGTGTAGATAGACAGACAGGGTAAGTGTGTAGATAAACAGACAGGGTAAGTATGTAGATTGACACGGTAAGTGTGTAGATAGACAGACAGGGTAAGTGTGTAGATAGATAGACAGGGTAAGTGTGTAGCACAGGGGTGGACAATGTCAACGTCACAGCTTACACGGCAAGTGTGTGACTCAGGGATAGACAGACAGTGCAAGTGTGTGACTCAGGGATAGACAGACAGGGCAAGTGATAGGCAGACCGGGTAAGTGTGTAGATAGACGTTACAGGGATAGACAGAAAGGGTTAGTGTGTAACATACGGGTAGACAATGTCCACGTCACAGCTAACGGTGTAAGGAAGCTGTTTCTATTGGCCTGTTGTCTTGGGGAGTCAACATGGTAAAATCATTCTCTCGTCAAAATACTGAAATTAAAAGAACAGACATTTTTTTTCCGCCGTGTGACAATTTGTAGATTCGTTTTATATTTTTAGAGGTTGTGGTGGTACTCAATACGTCTTATATCCATTTCAAGACATTTCTGTTGGGATATTCACGGAAAAGTTAATCAAACATGTTAATATACAGTTTCTAAATTTTTGGAAGTCCTCTAAATTCGGCGACAATTTTCATCACTTATTTAACTTCAGACACCGTCTGACCCTCAATTTATTCAAATGCAAATATCTCAATTTCTTTTCAAAATAGATGGGCATTGTTTCCATCAAAAGAAAGACAAATTAATTAACAAACTTAAGATGATACGAATAACTCAATATGCCCTAAAAATAAGTTTGTCGAGAGCCTAATTCTACCATGTGGAGACACTTTAGTTTAGTTTTAGTCAGAGTTTTACGGCTCTTGCAACACAATAAGGTCCTAACAGTGCCGAAGATTAGAGCTGTTACAAGCGAGTAACAACACAAAAAAGAAGGAGGGGAGATCAGGACGAAAGAAATTTGACTCACCTCACCCCCTCACCCCCCCACCCCTCTCACCTATCCCAGGTCCGCGTGGAGGCAGTCGTCAGACTACTGGACACCACCACCGTTTCCCCGGGCGATACCTTCACCCTCCACGCAGCGGTCAATTCTAACGACCAGGAGATCTCGGTGTACCCTTTGACCCTCACAGTGGCTGACGTGGACCTCTATACAGACGTCTATGCGGTCAGTTCTTGTTTATATCTATATCTATCTATCTATCTATCTATCTATCTATCTATCTATCTATCTATCTATCTATCTAATCTATTTGTGGTGGCCGAATTTTGCTATTCAAAAGGCTTTTTAATGGCTGCATCGATCGACATTCGGTTTTCGCCAAAAAAATCTTTAAAATATTCTCCAGATCATGACGCCCTTGGTTTTTTCAGTTTTGAGACAGTTTTGCTGCAAAAAGCTAATTTTTTAAAAATTTCGCCAATCGCTCTTTGTAGGCCGACGCTTCTGTCTCTGTGATTTTTGAAAATCCGGAAGTGATATTTCGCGAGGCGCATTTTGTTTGAGAGTATAGATAATAGATAGACTTTCTCATTTTTTGCATTTCTCAAGATTTATTTCCCCATTCCAGAAGAGTGTAAATATAGTAGGCCAATGATCTTTCCTTTCATCGAAAGGGGGCCCAGCTAGTATATATATATATAGAGGGAGAGAGAGAGGGAGAGAAAGTCTATGCAGATCACACACACACACACACACACAGTCACACACACACACACACACACACACACACACACATACATAATATATATATATATATATATTATAAATTTATATATAAGTGCAGTTTTGGAACACATGGAAGATGTGCTGTTTTGGAACACATTAAAGATGTGCTGTTTTGGAACACATGGAAGATGTGCTGTTTTGGAACACATTGAAGATGTGCTGTTTTGGAACACATTGAAGATGTGCTGTTTTGGCATGGAACACATTGTGTGTGACGGTTGGAAGTGTGCCGCCCCTATAAGGAAGTAAGGAAGTCTGCTGTTGCAGTTGATCTGAAACAACTATGTCGTCTCTATTGTTTGTAAGAGTCAAGCCTTTATGAACCACAATTGTGTGTCCTCTGTGGTTTCTAAGAGTTGAGCCATTGTGAACCACAATTAAGTCATTATGAACCACAATTAAATATGTCCTTTATGGTTTCTAAGAGTTGAGCCATTATGAACCACAATTAAGTCATTATGAACCACAATTAAGTCGTTATGAACCACAACTAAATATTTCCTTTATGGTTTCTAAGAGTTGAGCCATTATGAACCACAATTAAGTCATTATGAACCACAATTAAGTCGTTATGAACCACAACTAAATATTTCCTTTATGGTTTCTAAGAGTTGAGCCATTATGAACCACAATTAATCCATTATGAACCACAATTAAGCCATTATGAACCACAACGGTGTGCTCTCTATTGTTTCTAAAAGCTAAACCTTTATATGAACCACAACTGTGTCTCTTCCCCCCCCCCCCCATACCCCCTCCTCCCTCCCCCCTCCCACGCCCGTGTTGTGTCGGCCAGGATAACGTGACGGTGGAGAACGGGTCTGCCGTGACGCCAAACGTCACCAGCTCTCCCCCTGTGTCCATGAACATCGCCGAGAAGAAGACCGTCAACGTCTTGTTCCAGGTGCCGGGATGTACATCTTCCAAGGTAGTCTGTCTGTCTGTCTGTCTGTCTGTCTGTCCCTCTGTCTGTTTGTGTACCAACGTCTTCCCTTACTTTCCCCTCCAAAGTTTTTCATTACATTAGCTCATAAAGGGAGATGTTGCGGAGGGATTAGTGAGCTTGTCTCCGAAGTGGAAAGTCCGGGTTCGAGCCTCGGTTCGGACACGAGATTTTTTCGCATCTTCCTGCCCACCCAGCAGTAATGGATACCTGACTTCGAGTTGGGGAAGTAAAGGCGGCGTGGAAAAGAACTGGCCACCCTATCACAATATGCCGACCGCCCAGAAAGTTGTCTCACTAACAAGGCAATCCCCAATGTCCGGATCAGATGCGGGAACAATTATTTAATTAGCTCGTAACTATCGCCATCTTTAGTGGCGTCGGTAGCCTAGTGGTTAGGCTACCGGGCTCGTAATCGTGGCTTTGCGTGTTCGGGGGTTCGAGCCTCAGCTCGACCCGACGTTGTGTCCTTGGGAAAGGCACTTTGCAAGAATGTCTCACTTGGCTCAGCCTTTTCGGAGACAGACGTTAAACTAGATAGGAGGTCCCGCCTCTTAAATAACCTAATAATGTTGACAGAGGCGTTAAACCTTTACCATTTGACCATTTCAGGTGTGGCTAGACTTGGCTATGCCTCTTTTTAACATGGAGCAGAAGAATACTAACGAATACCAACTTTCCTGTTCCCTTCCTCCCAAGTTTTTATTATTATTATTATTATTACCTCATAACTTGATGAAGCCCACGTGGGATGGTCAATGTTAAAAACAATCAGGAAACGACAAATGCAGTCTTTGGGACACCTGAATAGGGAAACGTAGCTTTTTTTTTAGAGCATCCGAGCAAAGGAATGAATGGAGAACCATGATCTCCGATGTCTGTCGCTAATCTGGCACTGGATGATGATGAACTATCACCCATCTTTTATCTACCCCCCCCCCTCCAACTTTCCCCTCCTCTCCAACCCAAGTTTTTCATAATTAGCTCATCATAACTATCACCCATCTTTTATCTACCCTCCCTCCTTTCCCCCTCCCCCCTTCCTCCCAAGTTTTTCATATTAATAATATCTCCTAACTATCACCATCTTTTATCCCCCCCCCCCTCCCCAACTTTCCCCTCGCCACCCCTTCCTCCCAAGGTATTCATATTTAACGTATTAGCTCTTAACTATCACCATCGTTTGTCAACTTTCCCCTCCCCCTTCCTCCCAAGCTTTTCATGACATATTATTAGCCCATACCTGTCACCCATCTTTTAACTTCCCTCACTCCTCTCCTCCCCCCCTTCCTCCCAAGTTGTTCATATTAATAGCATCTCCTATCACCATCTTTTATCGCCCCCCCCCCCCCCCTTTTCCAGGTATGGCTAGACTCGGCTATGCCCGTGAACACATCGGCGATCATGACGGTTGAGGATGTGCAGATCTCCAGCTCGGGCCGGAACCTGGGAGACCTCACCAAGTATGACTCAGAGTTCACCGACACCAAGACCTCCACTCTGGACACCTCGCAAATCAACAAGTGGGAGAAAAATCTGGGCGTCGTCTCCAATCCTTGTGAGCTGGGGTTTTTTTTAGTAGAGGTTTTACCGTTTTACGGTGCTCGCAACTGCATAAAGCTCTGGCCACACTGCAAGCAGGGCGGGCAGAGCAGTGAACATTAATACAAAGACAAAGAGGTGACTCGCGGTGCGACTCGAGGCAGGTCAGATGGCCAGTCACCTCTTTGTCTTCTATTATCTATTTGTGGTGGCCGAATTTTGCTATTCAAAAGGCTTTATAATGGCTGCGTCGATCGACATGCGGTTTTCGCCAAAAGATTAATTAAATTATTCTCCAGATTATGACGCCCTTGGTTTTTTCAGTTTTGAGACAGTTTTGCTGCAAAAAGCTAAATTTCTTTATTTCGCCGATCGCTTTTGTAGGCCGACGCTTCGGTATCTGTAATTTTAGAAAACCCGGAAGGGATATTTCGCAAGGCGCATTTTGTTTTGAGAGTATAGATCTAGACCTAATTTTTTTGCATCTCTCAAGATTTATAGCCCTATTCCAGTAGCGTGTAAATTTATATGGTAGGCCAATTACTTTTAGTTGATATAATGCACCGATCATTCCTTTCATCGAAAGGGGCCCCAGCTAGTTGTATTAATTTTCGCTGCTCTGCTCTGGTCTGCCCGCTCTGCTTGCAGTGTGGCCAGAGCCTTAGGTCGTATGAGCGCCAGGCAGAAGATTAGGTGTGTTACAAGAGAGTAACAAGCATAAAAAAGAAGAAGGGAAAATACGGACGATAGTTGTTTGATAGGAAAGAAGGAGCAAACCACACCAGAACACCCGCCAACCACACACTCCCCATTTGAGTGCTGCTGATGACAGACGCAGGGGTTGTTTTTTGTTGTTGTTTGTTTGTTTTTTGTTTGGTCTTTTTCTTGGTTTGTTTTTGTTTTGTTTTTGTTGTTTTGTTGGGGGAGGGGGTTGTTTGCTTTTTAAAATTTTATATTTTTAAAAATAGTTTTATTTTCCTTTTTTAGGCGGCTGGGGTGGCGTGGGGGTAGCTTTTTTGGTTTGTGTTGTTTTGTTATGGGTATTCTTTTTCTTTTTTTAGGCAGGTGAGGTGGGGGAGGGGGGTTATGAGCTTAATTATTTCAGACTTTACATTCCATTTCAGTACGATTGAGTTATAATTGAGTACATCCACTTGATTGATTCATGATTGATAGACCAATGAACTGATCGCAAAAGTTGTGGGGATCACGGAGACTCCCACTATCCACAAGGGCTTCGCGGGGAACAGCATTATGGAGACGTTGTTTTAGATGTTGTTGTTTTTATTTTCCGTGAATCTTTTTACTTCGATAACTTGGGTGGTTGGTAGGTGCTTTAGTGTGATTTACTCCTTCGTTCTTATAAAATCAATATCTTTCTTATCTCTCCTTCTTCGACGTGTCTTTTGTAAGTTGCGCTCTGGTGACACCTCTAGTCTTCTGCACTTATTGTGCCTATTTGTGCTGAAAATGAAGTGAAACTCTGGCAAAAAGCAAACTTTGTCAACTTCCTGGCGTGAATGAGCACTTAATGATATTAATGAACACTTAATGACGCGAGTAAACACTTCATGACGTGAATTATAGCGTGAATGAATGAACACATACTAACGTGAATGAACACTTCATGCCGTTAATGAACACTTAATGACGTGAATGAATACTTAATAACCAGTTAATGACGTGAATGAATAAACATTTAATGACGTGAATGAACATTTAATGACGTGAATGAACACTTAATGACGTGAATTAACTCTTAAAAACGCGAATGAACACTTAATGACGTGAATTAACTCTTAAAAACGCGAATGAACACTTAATGACGTGAATACACACTTAATGACGTGAATGAATAAACACTTAATGACATGAATAAACACTTGATGACGTAAATAAACTCTTAATAACGTGAATGAACACTTAATGACGTGAATAAACACTTAATGACGTGAATGAACACTTGATGACCTAAATGAACACTTAATGACGTGAATGAACACTTAATGACGTAAATGAACACTTAATGACGTGAATGAACACTTAATGACGTGAATAAACACTTAACGACGTGAATAAAAACACTTAATGGCATGAATGAATAAACACTTAATGACGTGAATGAATAAACACTTAATGACGCAAATTAGCATTTAATGACGTGAATGAACACTTAATGGCGTGAATGAATAATATTTATTGGCGTAAACGAACACTTTATGACGTAAACAAACACTTAAGGACGTGAATGAACTTTTCATGACGTAACTGGTGAGGTCAACGAATGAACGCTTATTGAAGTGAATGATGACGTGAATGAACACTTAATGAAGTGAATGATGACGTGAATGAACACTTTATGACGTGAATGAACACTTAATGACGTGAATGATGACGTGAATGAACACTTAATGACGTGAATGATGACGTGGTAAACACTTAATGACGTGAATGAACATTTAATGACGTGAATGAACACTTAATGACGTGAATGGTAACGTGAATGAACACTTAATGACGTGAATGATGACGTGAATGAACACTTAATGACGTGAATGATGACGTGGTAAACACTTAATGACGTGAACGTGGTGAACACGACTCTTCCCCAGGCGTGACGAGGCACACGGATGACTACAAAAGCGACGATGACATCATTTCCGCTGACATCACAATACAAATGGCGGACCATGAGCTGGCGCAGAACGGCGAGATATTTTACGCCAGTTTTGGCCTCCACGTGGCAAGATTCATCTTTATCCTCGACCTTGCAGTGACGGTGGTGAGGACGGGGTCAGAGCAGCTGGAGTTTAACATGACGTCATCGAGGGATGATGTCAACTCCACCTCGTGAGTACATGCACGCGCAGACTGTGCACACACAGTATATATTATACACACACACCCTCACATACACACACACAAACACATACACACACAAAAACACCTACACACACACAAACGCATACACACTCACATACACACACAGGCTATGCGCTCACAGTACATGGATACACACACACACATACACACACACACACACACACACACACACACACACACCCACATACCTACACAGGCTATGTACAGCTATGCACACACACAGACTTTGCACACACAGTACATATACATACACAGGCTATGTACACACAGGCTATGTACACACACACAGGCTATGCACATACGGGGTATGTACACACAGGCAATGCACACTCACAGGGTATATACACACAGGCTATGTACATACAGGCAATGCACACTCACAGGGTATATACACACAGGCTATGTACATACGCAGGCTATGCACACATACAGGCCATTCACACACAGGCTATGCACACATACAGGCTATGCACACACACAGGCTATGCACACATACAGGCTATGCACACACACAGGCTATGCACACATACAGGCCATTCACTCACAGGGTATGTACACACAGGCTATGCACACATACAGGCCATTCACTCACAGGGTATGTACACATGTATGTTTTTATGCACACTGCAATAGTAAGTGGGCTGATTTATCAATGTCATGTTCACACTGTGCCGGAACAACACAGGGGAACTGCAGATGTTTCCCCCCTCATCCTTACTATCGTCATTTTTCCCTATACTTCTTTTGTATGTTAATCACTCTCTTGTGAACTGCTAGTTCCCTGGTGCCTTGATAGTCGAAGTAGACTTTGTGCTGTTGAGACTAGAGAGGTGAGCAGAGTAAGCCCGATTCCCCGTTTGGACTTCTCTGTTGACATCCACCCCTTGGCGCTCATATGACCTTTATGAAGCGTGCTGACAAAATGAGTGATTTCTCAGATTCAAGTTTTCAAGGAAATGGATACACAAGGTTCATAGGTGAAGTTTTTACGTTTTATAATTGTGAAATAATAAAACACAAGTTATAGTTAAAGAATGTGTATGGTGTCATCAATAGAAAATCTACAGATTTTTACCTCACTGTCGATTTTCGGCCAATATCTCCTTTTGTGGATTGCGAGAAGTAACTCATTTTGTCTGCACGCCTCACTTTTATGCAGTTGCGAGCGCCGTAAAACCTTTCCTAAAACCATATTTCAGGGACCGCGTGGAGATAGACACTATGCTGAGTCTATCGGACACGGCCACGGCGGAGGGGAGGGACACGGTTCTCCTCCTCTTCCTCCCTCCTTATGTCAGTCACGTGAGCACCGTGATTACGTCACCGCACAAGACGATCGTGAGTGAGTCACTGGAGGGGAACGTGCTTACCGTCAACGTGAGTAGTCCCTGAGCACCTGCGGGATGATGATGATGATGATGATGATGATGATGATGATGATGATGATTTTTTTTTGTTTCCTTAATGGGCCTGGCGGACTCCACGAAGAAATCTTCGAGCGAGAGCGAGGCTCTTTTTCGGCTCCATTGTCAATATACTTAGAGGCCCCTCCACTCGTCCAAATAACTCCATTCGAATTGCCATTGTTCCTGGACATTCAAACATATGTTTGATATCCTCCTTTTTATGGCCGCATCTTCGGCAACATGGGCTGAGCTCTTCATTTACAAAGTTGATGATGATGATGATGATGATGATGATGATGATTAAACAAATTTAAACATTTTATATTGTTATTTTATTTGTGTCTAAAATTAAAACAAGACTCTCCCTCCTACCCTGCTTACCAAAAAATGATGATGATGATGATGATGATGATGATGATGCTAAATATCTCTTTCCTAATTCCCCTCCCTCAACCCCCCTTGCTCTTTGTACAAGATCTTCTTAACTAAATTATCTTACTTTTACCTACAAATACAATAATGATAATTAGAAAAGTAATAAAATAACAGCTTTTGTATAGTGTATAGCATTTCTCAACAACACCCCCCCTCCCTCCACCGCCTTTCA